TCGGCACTTGGTCGCCCAGGAGAGCTGAAAGGTGTTGCTCCGGAGTTGAGATTTAGTAACACGAATCATTTTTACAACTCGATCAAGGCCATTGAACACTGCAGCTGCCTGACAAAACCAGCAGCCACACACGCCGCTGGTGCAGTGCCAGCACCGCCGTGGTTATGCCGAAGTTCCAGCCGTTCCCCCCATGGCAGGTGCCATGTCTGCGCCGGGAAAAAGACGAACGTCTTAGCTCAGCTTGGGGAGCGGCCCCCCGTCGGCGCGAGGGAACAAGCCGGGCTGCGGCGGGACCTGGGCTGCACAGCACTGGGCTGGGCTCTAACCCGCCCGAGTCTGAAACGTCCTCTTCCGTGTCGCCTGGGGAAGTGTTACTACACGTCACGGAAGAACCACCGGGCAAGTGAGACGCGTGGACGGCCGCTGGGAGTGTCAGCCAGCCCCCCCGCAGGAGCCCCGTCCTCTCGCCGTCCGTGCTAATGGGACCCGGGAGTGGCCCCGCGTTGCGTTTTAAATGGCGCTTCTCACTCACTCCGCTTTATCTATAAAAATTAACGGCCCTATGAGGATTAAAGGCCCCGAGTCGAAAGCTGGGCTGGAGCTGTTATCTGGGTTATGGCCCTCCATTTCTCCTGTCACATAGTAAGAATTTATTAACCATTTGCTCGAATATTCATTTTTATCATAATGATTACAGATAAGATTTTCCTGGAAGGAATGGGCCAGAATCATCAGGAAAAATGCCAGCCTTTTTATGAGAAATTCACCCGGCACAGAAATGACTGGTTTAACTTCTGGAGGACACACCGCCCCTCCCGCCCCAAAGAGCTGTCCCGGCATCGCAGCGAAGCGTGAGGACCGCAGGCTTTTCGTGGAGACGGGCCACGTTTCCGGTCCCTGGGTGCACAGTGGCCTCTCCTTTCCCTCTTGTTTTGGAATGAACGCTGCTGTCGGACCGACCTCTGGATAGGCAGGTCTGGGGTAGACATGGTTCCATCTTCTGACCTCCTTGTCTTCCCTGGAAAAGGAAACGATATGGGGACTGGAGGTGATGCATTGTGAGCTAAAAAGGACTTAACATGAGAAAGGGAGATGGGTCAAGAGGATGGGACGTACATCTGCCTCCCCCACCCCCACGGGGCCCCACCGGGTGGCTCAGTGGTTGAGCGTCGACCCGTGAGCCATAGAGGTTGCTAGTTCAATTCCCGGTCAGGGCGCAGGCCCGGGTGGCGGGCTCCATCCCCAGTGTGGGGCGTGCAGGAGGCAGCGATCAATGATGTTCCTCTCTCATGGCCGTTTCTATCTCTTTCTCCCTCTCCCTTCCTCTCTCTCTCTCAAATCAATAAAAACATATTTTTAAAAATTCCATGAAGTGTCAGAAGAAGGTTATGAAAGATTCCTGAGGAAGAGGAAGCAAATGAAAGCAGATCTACGAAAAAACAAAACGGAGCAAAACCCCTCGGGGGAGAGGGGTTCTGTACCGCCCAGGAGAGGGGGCAGGACAGCCCCTAACCGACGGCTGTGAACCGGGGCCGCGGAGGCTGGGCCGCCCTTCCTGCAGCCTGGGACCCACTCGCGCTCGGCGGTGTTTGACCCCAGGTTAGAGCGGTAACGGCGCAAAACCAAACCTCACACAGTCTCACCCGCGGGGGGCCCCGGGGCCCAAACACAGGACACGTTACTGGCCCACCCGCCCACCGGTATACACTCTCCCTGTCCCCGGCCCCAGAAGTGACTCGAAACAGGGCTTTCGTCCCCAAATGCAACAAGGAGCACATGGCCGAAATGTCGGAAGAATCTGGGAGCAGACTGGAGAACCACCCCTAGGGAGGACAGAGCTGCCAGGAGAGGAGGCGGCGCGGACCAAGGGGGTGCATCCCCAGTGGGTGAGAAGAAGGCATCCACAAGGCCAGCCCAGCGAGGGGTTGGGAGTTCACCCGCGGGTGAGGCGGAGGTGGCGGCTCCATGGGCCCGAACACTGAGGCACAGCGGGCGGGGCCCAGGCGGACGGCATCCCGCATCCCAGCTGGGGCAGCAGAGAGAGTGACGGGGAGGAGAGAGACTCTCTACAAAGAAGAAAAAATTGAGACGTGGAAGAAAACCACAAGTTATTGTGT